GTAAAGGCCATGTTACACGGTGCAATTTTTCTTGCAACTTGCAATGCAATTCTACTCTTGAGAGATGTAAAATTGCCAAATACGAGTCTTCATTACACTCCGCTGATGTTTTCTCAACATGTCGAAAATTCTTCACAGATTTCACTAATTAACATCTCTCAAGAGTAGAAATGCATTGCAAGTTGCAAGAAAGATTGCACCGTGTAACATGGCCTTAAACGAATGAGAACAATTTAGAAGTGATATCACCTGCAAAGTAAACTGGTTACTTGCTGCGTTTCAGCTAAGTTTCTGAATTCTTCTTGTAGCTCTGTCAACTGTGATATAAATTCCTGAAGAGAACGAGCCTAGAGCAAGAGAGAACAAATATGGTCGAGATATTTTCCACGATAATTGCAATTCATTTCAGCACTTGTAGCATATGACTTGTATAATGCCATTACCTTACCTGTTCCATGTTATTTTGTGTATATTCCCACTTGAGTTTTTCTAATATTGCTAGTTCACGACTCATCGTCTAAAGGTATTAACAACTGTGTTGTTCCAAGGTTTACTTATAATCATGTAAAGTTCCCATGGTTGGCACCAAACTGGCACCATGCGGTTTTTCTGAGCACAGTTTCCTTCTGTAGTAATACTGAACCAACAAGATATAACCCTTACTGGACTCCAAAGCTAAAGATTTTAGACTGACCTATATTCAGTATATTGTTTAGGTTTTCTCCTGTAGTAATACTGGAACAATAGACATGGATCTCTAGGAAGATAAGTTGAGAACTGACATAAAGGTATCCAGGATTAATAAAGTTAGTTAGTTGTTCTGAAGAACTAAGTTTCCAGAAATTTGAATACAATATATTCTTACATGAATTCTGTCTCTTGCTGCATCCAATTCAGTGCGTTGCTCGGAATGCAGTTTTAAACATTCCTGTAACTCATGTTTAGTTTGTTTAAATTTTTCTCTCAATTTCTTGTGTCGAGTTTCAGTTTCCTCTTGCACACTTTTCAACGTCACGTTCTCGTCTTTCAAAGAATTTTTAAGTTTTACCATTTCCTGGAAATCTTTACGTAACTATAAAAATATGATATTGAGGAGATTTTGTAGTCAAGGTAAATCATCTTTTCATACGTCTAAGTGCTGAATTGCAAAGGGTGCACTTCAAATGACTCGGACTCAGAAAGCGTTGCGAAGCAGCAGTTAGTGGATAATTTCATAACTGTTCACATTTATAGGAAAATTACACCTCTCTCTTATTTATTTGCCACCAAATACAGGACTACTACATATAATTAAAAAAATTAGCATTCTCACTCTGATAACTGTAGGTTAACAGCCATCTGTTGTGCAGAATACTCGGTCACAAAATAAATAATGGGACTCAGTGAAAGCTAGCTTCACTTTTTGAACTTGAGTTCTCGCTCCAGATAAAAATAGAGCTCAGTGCTCGTACCTTAGAAATTTCCTTCTTGTGATGCTTCTTCACTTCCTTCATCTCTGCATCAAATTCCTTTCTCACGTCATCCACTTTTGTTTCCATAGCAACAGTCTCTATTTCCATCTCCCGTTTCACGTTAACTGAAGATGCTCGTAGTTTTTTAATCTCGTTATTTTTCTGTTTTAATTCATTCGCCAATCCTTCCAAAGATTCCTGAAGATCTTTGTTAGTTTTCATCAAAGGTTCTACAGTGTTGAGTAACTTCTCTCGATCTTCTTCTAACAATTGTAGTGTTTTACGAACAGCGTTCACCTCGTTCGATTCAGTTTCATCTTGATGCATTAGTTTAGATTTTAATAATTCCACTTCGCTATTTAAATCCATGATCTTTGTCTCTGTCTCTAATCTGGGTATTAGAAGTAAGTACACTGGTCAGTAATACTGGTTAAGGGGCGAATCATTAGAAATCCCGGGATGTGTGTGTGGGGGGGGGGGTGACAATCCACCTCCCCCCACAAGAAATATGACTGGGAAAATAATCTTGCAGCCAGTCACAGTAATATTCAAAAAAATACATCACCTTTCTTTTTCAAGACACATTAGCCGACTATCTCGTTTACCCAGTTCAGTTTGAAGACTTTCGCACGAAGACTGGAGCTGAGTATGTGACGTAATCACAGCGTCAAGTGTTCCCGCCAATTTCTTATTGTCTTCTTTTGATTGGATAAGAGCGTCTTGTAGAGAATCAATCTGCCGGAAATCAATATGGGAATAATTATTTGGAGAAGTAGTAAGAAAATTTACTGTGAAAATTAGTGCATATTAAGTACTCATTTTTTTTATAAAACTGCCATCCTCGCCCTAAGGCCAACGTCGCGTTGTGAAGAGCAAGAGGGCCTGGGGACGAAGATGGTTCAGTGAGCTCTATATATTTAACTGGAGCAAGAACTTCAGTCATTCGGCCTATGAGAAAAGTGAAGCCAAGGACATCCTCGCCCTAAGGATAACGACTAGGCTTGACTTTAACGACTGTTGATTAAATAACCTGTTTCGAATATTTTCTTTCGTACAGATCTGTTTCGCGTACGACTCGTTCTGTTGCTTTCATAGCTTCATCTTTTTCTCTCATCAATAACTCAGTCTCTTTTTCTTTGTCAAACGCAAAACCCTTCAACTGAATGGAAAAGAAAATCAATTATTTTTATTTTAATATGTGATGTGTCCGATGACAAAATACAGAAGTGACAGGAAGTGTCGCAATTGAATCTACGTCCTATAATCGATAACGGTAAAAATTATGTGAAAAACAACTTTTCTTATTTCACATTCTGCATTTCCAAGTTTTTGTTTGTATTCTTTTAAATTTGTTTAGTTCTGGTTAAGAAATGAAAATAATAGATAAGAAAACTTCCCCATGTATCAAAACTTGAGAACCCCTCCACAATACTAGACGGTCGCCAGTGGCGTAGCTAGCGGTCCCGCTGTCCCGCCTGGCGGGACTAGAAATTTAAAAAAAAAATGAGGAAATGTTTTATAGTGAAGCCAAATTAAAGCTTTTCTTATTCTGAAAATTTATATAATCAGTTATGATCATTTTTCAGTGCTTTCATTTATATGCTCTTTGATCTCTGAAACCCAAAATTAGCTAATTTCCACCAATTGATTGCTACTCACGCAATTCGTGAATCGCATGTCTCGTGTCCGCTGATTTTCATATGGCGGGATATGCAATACTATTTTATACAAGAAATTCTGGTTTCTGATTGGATAATTGGCGCAGCGCATGCTCAGAACGGCTGTTTTTAATGCCGAAGTCCCGCTATTTTATAAAGGCGGAGGTTGTCAACTCA